TCACAGATTCTCAGCCCAGCCTACCTCACAGGGTTGCTGTTGTGAGGCTAAAGCAGAGCTGTGTAAGCTGCCTTGGATTCGTCACAAGAGGAAAAAGAGTGGGATAGAAATGCAACAGGATGATGCTCATGTCCTCACTCTCCACATCACTAGAAGCTCTGGGACAAAAGATCCCATGGAAAGCAATGGGAGCATCCCTTCTGGAGCTGAAAGCAGCCATGCTGGGGAGGACAGGGAAGGGGAAGAAAGGGTTAATCCCCTCCAAGTTTGGGCCTGAGGCTACCATTTTGTGCATTTGGATGATACAGGCCCCTGCCTGGGAAAAGGCAACGCCATGGTAACGCTGCATCTTTAAGATGCCACTGGGCTCTCTGAGTCTACCTCTCGGGAAGTCGCCTGTTATTTGGCTTGCCATTTCACTCAAGTTTCTCTTCCCTTTGAAGTTCACACTCGAGGACATGCTGTTCTTGTCAGAACAGGTCACGTTTAACAAGAGATTCCCAGAGTGCTGCACTTCTGGGAAAGCCAACTCACTGGCGATCGCACCACCAGCTTTCCACCACAACAGCGTAGGTGATGGTTGTTAGTCACCTAATTAAGCCATCAGCTGCAGCGCAGAGGGCACTTAGACAAGAACCAGCATCAATTGGAGGCTAACGAGAGACATATTGCCTTTCTGGAGTTTTGAATGCATGAAAGCAGGTATTTGCATTCATCAGGATGGTGTATGCTGTACTCAGCTTTTGTACACATCTATCATTCAGAAAGATGTCTTGGAGCCTGACTTTTATTCATCCAGGGTGCTTTGAACCATAATTGTCATTTCTCGCCATTCCTAGGACATAGGTTACTTATCTTTCCATTCCTCTCAAAGAACACGAAAAAATGCATGCTTCTCAAGGAAAGGATGGTGAAGACACCTGCTCATCTTTTGGGCAATCCAGGGCCTCCAGGGCCATTTTTTTGCCCATTACAGTGGGCAACGACCTTCACTCCAGGAACAGTAGCTTGCAATGTCTCGCCTGTCCTGCTCTCAGAAGCCCCTCCCTTTCTGTATGATATTGATACCTTGCCTTTGTCCTGTCTAGGGGCTCCGAGTACACACATTCCCTCCCCCGAGATTAGAATCATAAATTAGCACAGGTAGCTTTAAAATCTGTGCTCTGAGGATTGCCAAGTGACTTTCGTCCCGTCACGTACCCATTCACAGACCCAGTGTGAGGGGGTCACCAGAATCTTGTTCTTGTTGCTCTGATTTGCATTATGGAGCAATTCCAGTTCCCCTCCCTCCCAGCAAAACACAGTCTGCAAGTCCACAAAATCCACAGGTCTTCGAAAAGGGCGGTCCTCTTTGGAAGGTGCACATCAGACGTGTAGAAATCCAAACTTATTTGACTCCACTGCAGATTTCTCTGACATCCCCAAATGTGGGTTAGGCTGAGGAAAAGGTCATGTTCTGGCCATCCTTTGGGGTTTTAATTAACATTCAAGGGGAGAAAAGCGGGGAAGATCCTGCTAGCTCCCCCCTTCCATCACAGTTTCTGTTGCGTCCTACAACAGAGGGGTACAGAAAGTATTTCTTCAAGTACTGTTTGTCAGGGCAGACAGCAACAGGCCAGCAGAGCGAGTGTGGCTGACTTCCCTACCCTTTTCTGATTAAACACAGCAGTCAAACAGCTAAACAGAGTTAGAATAACTGGCCCAACAAGGCTGAACAAGGATTTGAACCTGGGTATTCCCAGTTGGAGCCCTACAATCCACACCACAGGTGTGTGATTGGTGGCCCTCCAGATCTTTTAGCCTACAACTCCCATCAGCCTGACCAAGCATTGCTAATGGTGTGGGATTATGGGAGTTATCAGCTAAAGACACGGAGTCCCCCATTCTGCTATTGCTCTTTATTTTGAGGCACCTACCCCCAAACCCTGGACAGGCCCATTTCGTTCCCACCCACCCCACTCAAGCCCACTCTTCTATGAAACCTCCATCTTAGTGGCTGCAGGATGTCTCGCCAGGGCAGAGGGGGCTGCTGATTTTGGAAAAATCTTAGGCAGAAGGATTCAGGAGGAGAAATCCTTCCGGGGGGGGGGGGGGGAAATACAGCTAATTGAGGGGATTGGTTGCAACAGAATCATTGGAGCCCCTCTGCCTTTATTTCAGCAGGTGACCCTGGGGTGACAGGTGCCCTCCCAGGAATTCATGGCCCCGAATGAGAGGATCGGGAATCCAGCCCCAGGTGGGTCAGGCTCCAAAACTGCCTCCTCACCCCAGTCAAGTTAAAGCCAAGATGTTTAACTGCTTCCATTTACCACTTCCGTCCGGCCTTTTTGTGTCCATCCCATCTGTTTACTATTTTGTTACCTTTCCGCCCTGCGTTTACTCCCTAACACAAAACCCCACCAACAGACACATGCACACACAACCTGGCACCTTTTCCGTGTTTTGGACAACGCTCCCAGCATGCCAGACCATGGGCCATGCTGGTTGCTGATGGAAGCTGGGGGCCACAAGGGCTGGAGGGCACCATCAGCTCAGGGGAGGCTGCTTTAAAGCATGGCAAGGAACGGTGTTTCCTTGCTCTGCAGAGCACTCTGTATAGTTGAGGAACTGAGTGAAGAAGGAGCATCCGGGCACTGAAAACCTTTCATCACTGCTGAGGCACTCAATGAAGCACAGAGGCTACTCCTTGCTGCAGAGGTGCTGCTTCTGGAATCCAAGCAAAGGGGCCATCTCCTGCAGGAGTCAACCTGATGCTTCTGGGAAGCCCAGGAATACGTTGTGACTGCAAGCACAACTCGGAGGCTGCAAAGAGGCGGGAGATGCAAAAGAAGGGCAGGTCTAGCCACTGGTATTTAAGCCCCAGCCACATACAAACAGTTCACATCCATCAGCTCTTGGATTTACATGCATCTCGAGTCATAGAAGAGCACGTTAGCTTGCAGGAAAAGCACAGAGTTCTGAATTGCTCCTTTCTCAACAATCCGATCAGACTGTATGGATTGCTCACCCTTCAGCTTTATCATAACCTGCTCCAAACAATGGAAGGGACAAGGAAGCCTATAATGAGGTCCCAGGTAACTAGCATTGCTCCATTTTCTAACATTAGTTATTTATTACACAGATGAAGGATTGCTAGAATTAAAGGAAGGCAACAGATGCTGCAGAGAGGGAACTGTTCTGGGTCTAGGAGGAAACGGTTTCCTAGGTTTTGCTTACAATATGTCACTGGAAACAACAGGATAGGGAGGAAAATATCCTTTGTTTTTCACACAAATCTTAATCAGGCTTAAAATAACTTGGAAATGTTACCTGTTTATATGGTCTCTTTTGCATTATGGTAAAAGGAAGAAATCAAGGGAAAACCCTTATAAAAGGACCTCTATTACAGCATAAATCATCTCCATCTGCACCAATTCTACCTGGTTAATACTGCATATTTGACAGTTGGTTTAGTGTCCTCCTATGGTCAGTCAAGTTTACAGAACTGAGCAAGGTGGTGGAGGGCAGGACATTGGAGGCCCACCTTCAGTCATCCAGAGGGTCACCATAACTCATGGAAGACTTGACAGCACATAATAACAACTTGCTTGGTCAAATGTGCTTCTTATCGGTCCTGGAAACAACTGTATGATTACTTAAATAAAGGTAAATCACAGGTTATGTTAGTTTACTGGAAGGAGCTGGATGAAGTTTTATAGAACAGGGTATAGCAGGTTTAGTCTAAAACCAGACAATAGAGATTAGACTGATTAAGCAAACAAACAAAATAACTACAAAGGTTATTCTGGTCTATTTATGAGTTCTGTACTATTTTTGGAAGAAAGCATATCCTAACTTAACCTGAAATCAGAGTTGGCTTTTTACAGTTAAGGAATGAAATGACAGTTCATTTTAAAATCCAGTTCATGCATTCTCAGTCTTGATGGAATGATTTTAAGGGTATCCTCTGACCCCTGAAATTCAATGGGATTTGCTCTCTAGCAGGTTTGATTAGGCCACAGCAGTTTAAAAGTTTTGGCTCACTTAAACTCCAAGTTGCTGTGATCTTCTGTGTTCTTGACAGTTACAAAAATCTTGCAAGAGTCAAGTTCTGCTGGATAGATGGGAAACTGGGAAAACTGACTCACAGGGCCAAACTAAGTGCATGCAGCCACAATTCTGGTAATGCACAGAGAAAATCAACTGCCAGCATCAAACACCCATCCACACAAAACAAAACACAATCCAGGCAATATGTAAACAGCTGCGCCACAACTCAACAAGAAAACCAGCTCTCTCTGTCTGTCTGTCTGTCTTCTCTCTTTCTCACACGCACACACACACAGAGCATAAGAAAAGCATCTCATTGCTTCTTCCTCTGACTACCCCGGCATATTCCTACCCCAACCAGCTTGCATTTTATTTTTTTCTGGTAGCTGGACTGAAGCCACCTACCACTTTTCTTCCCTAAGGTCTTCTCTACATTTTATCACTTTTATTAATTAAGAGAGGATATATTGTGGAATGTTTTATGCTATTTATATATCGTTATTTATTGTGGAATTTTGTGTAAGCTGTCCTGAGGCTTTCGCAAAGGACGGCATACAAATGTCTTGAAAGAAAGAAAGAAAGAAAGAAAGAAAGAAAGAAAGAAAGAAAGAAAGAAAGAAAGAAAGAAGGAAAGAAAGATAGATACATGGGGCATAACCCTGAGCCTTTCTTCATGGGAAGATTGTAGCATCCTTTCCAAGAGGAGCCCTCTCCCGTGTTCCTTCTCTGCATGTTCCTATAAGTTCCATTACAGAATACGAGGCAGTTCTCAGTTTAGAGAGCTGCAGAAATGTAGGTTCATCCTTAGAACCGAGACTGTGCAGAGGGCACCTCACGGGGCAGCATGCCAGCCTCCTGCTGAGCAACCACAACAACAAAGCTTAAAAAAGGGATGGGCAGCTGACCACCTTGAAACGTGTCCATGGGCAAATCGGTTGCCAGCAGCACCATGTCGTACCCTCCAGATCTAACATTTAACCCATTCTTTTTCTTTCCCACTCAAAGAATTAAATTTGATAACCGTGGATACCAAATCTGGAGACATGGCCAATTTCTCCTCTTCACAAAGCCCTACAGCTACTTTTGGGAACTGCACCGATGAAAGTGCCTCATTTCAAAACATCTACACGTCCCTCATTTATAGCATTCTCTTTCTGGTGTGTTTTCCCGGGAACATTATTGTCATTTCCACATATATCTTCAAGATGAGACCTTGGAAAAGCAGCACAATCATCATGTTAAATCTGGCTCTTACGGACCTGCTGTACGTGTCCTGCCTTCCCTTTCTGATCCATTACTCCATCAATGGGGACAACTGGGTCTTTGGAAGGTTCATGTGCAAGTTCGTCCAATACAACTTCTACTTCAACACCTACAGCAGCATCTTGTTCCTCACCTGCTTCAGCCTCTTCCGCTGCTGTGTTGTGGTCTACCCGATGCGATGCTTCTCCATTCAGAAGCAGCGCTGGGCCATTGTGGCCTGCACTGCAATCTGGGTTGCTTCGCTCCTGGCCATCAGCCCCATGATCTACCTGGTCACCACGAAGCAAAGCTCTACGAGATGGATTTGCATGGACTTTACTGATACCGAAGACCTGAAGTTGGCAAGGTGGTTCAACTGGCTCCTCACGATCTTTGCGTTCCTCTTGCCTTTGGGAACGGTGACTCTTTGCTACGCCATGATTATCTACACGTTGGCAAGGGGTCCTCACACTGGTACTGCTTACAAGCAGAAGGCTCGCAACCTGGCAATTGTCCTCCTGGCTGTCTTTTACGTGTGTTTCTTGCCATTTCACATCCTCAGAAGTGTTCGTCTGGAGCTAAAGCTACACCCCGTGAACTGTGAAGTAATGCAGCAGGTCCTGAATATTTTCACAGTGACTAAAAATTTAGCGTCACTAAATCCCATTGGCAACTTAATCCTTTATGTTGTGCTTGGAGATAACTTCCAGCAGGCCATGCTTTCCATTTGTAAACAGATTCTAAAAACAAATAAGAAATAGATGTACCTTAAAAAGTGGTGCTGTTTGTTCAAGTCATTCAATTATAGATTATATTTCCGATTGTCCTAAATATGTATAATTCAGCACAGAGATAAGACCTGTTCATAGGCATATGTTTTTCATGTACTTCTGCAAATAAAATTTAGAAATCGCTCTCTTCCTCTTCCCAAGGATGTTGCAAGTGTTTTCACTGCTTCATGTTCCTGACACTCCTTTTTCTCAGCAGGGGCTTCTCTTACTGTCTACTTGGTTATGGAACTATGGAAGTGGGTAACTTTCTGGGAGCGCACAAGCCAGTTTAGAACCACACCATAGAGAGACCCGGCTTGCAGAACATGCCAAATCTTGTCTCCATCTTGACTCTAATCAAGGTGATCCAGGGTTGCAGCACATGATGGGAACCCAGCCACAATGAATTAACCCTTTATTAGTAGGTGAGATGTTTAACCCTCTATTAACCCATGGGTTTGCAGAACACATCACAACCTCAATTACCCCCTCAGAGACACTCTGCCTGCACCGGGGGGTAGTCACGGGTTAAGCAACCAAGATAAGCCATTATGTCACGCAAACAGTCGAGGCAGTGGAGACGGAGTGATAAAGACTCCCAAAGACTTGCAGCCTTGCCTCTGTATTATCTAAATAAACTAGAACCACAAATAAATATAGCATAGTTGTTAGTTTGCTTTTAAAGAACACAATATTTGCAAAGGGTTGGTGCCGATAAGCCACACAAAAGGATAAATTCTATGCAAATATCTGGTGAGAACATCCATATCACACAAATTCACTGGTGCATTAAGAGATCCACCAGGCTAGGCAATAGCCCCCTGAACTGGTTGGTGACAGATTTACATAAACAAAACCCAAGGAACAGGCGTTAGGATGACTTCATACACAAGAAGGATGAGGAAGATGGAAAAGAGAGGGGGAAATCCAGGACATGCAGAGTCTGGCAGTCAAATCAGTTTTAATGCACTCCTATTTTTCCCAAAAGGAAAGTGCAACCTAATGGCCACCAGAAAACTACAGCTTGGAACAGCCTTTTTCAAACAGGTGCCTTCCAGACAACTCAGGCTGTAATTCACAATCTTGCGGATTGTAAATCCTGGGAGTTGCAGCCTGACGCACCTGGAGGGCTCCAGCTTGAGGAAAACTGACTTAGCAGAATCTTGCAAAGCGAAAGACGTAACGTCTTAGGCTTGGCAGAAGGCATCTCATCAGCCCCGCTGTCATCCGGAGGGAAGGCAGCTGTTCGCAATGGCATTCAAGCATCAGAGGAGAGGGGACCATTTTAGGACTCACCAACCTTTGTGGCATGGTATTTGTGTGTAAGAAATCATCGACGGAACACAGGTGCTTTCCTTCTGGACTGAAAGGTTTTGTCTTTAAAAACATGTGAGAAAAAATAGAGGCATGAAACCAGTGTAATCACACCCTTTCATTTAGAGGTCATTCGATACCCAAAATAGGCATCGTCACTCTTCCAACTCTAATGAAGGCTACAGCCCGCCTCTTCCTGCCTCTTGCACATTAATAAGAAATCAAGAGGGGGAGTGTATGATAGCCCACTCAAGTCATGTCACATCTTTTTTATCCATTCCATTTTCTTATGGAGGGAAGAGTATACAAGGTTATTATTCATTTATTTATTTATGTGATGTGTGTTTTGTGCTGCCTTTCTTTGATATGAAGCCACTGATTAATAAGCAATACCTCATGATGTATTCAAAGCATTTCTGCTGCAGTAGAACATTCAGACTCTTTGGGGTCTCCTGATGCTTCAACACCCAAACAGCAAAAATGGCTTTGCCAGGAAATGTACCACAATTTTTCTTTGCATCAAACCTGTTCCAAAAAGAGCTTTGGCGCTGTAGTATACAAACATGGTTGCCCCTGTGAAACATGCAGAGGTTACTAGCATGGAGTATTCACATCTGTTGATTATGGGACAGCCCATTTTCATGACACTTGTCAGTTCAGAAAACCCTGATGTGGGCTTTTAATACTCAAAGAGATAGCAAAATAAAGAGTGGTGCAGGGAAAGATTATTAATTCAAGCACACACTGCTCAAAGGCCCTACACAAACAACCTAATCATGTGCAATCGAGTATAACTGGTCCACAGGTTAAGAATGAATTCTGTTCCTGAGATGGTCCTCAAGTCAAATTTGCATATAAGTTGGATCCTATAAATAAAAAGCATACAAAACAAGAAATGCTTCCATTTACACTAAAACATCTACAACACAATGCAGCATTTTAACAATGATGATACCGTAATAATAAAGTAACTGCTTGTATGAGAAAGAGAGAGAGAGAGAGAGAGAGAGAGAGAGAGAGAGAGAGAGATTCTGATTGTTGAACAACTAAAGTCTAATGCTTTCCCAATGACTGATGGTGTCTCACCTTTCCCTGATCATAGAATCATAGAATAGCAGAGTTGGAAGGGGCCATGAAGGCCATCAAGCCCACCCCCTGCTGTTGCAGGACACCACGTGACACCATCCCACTCAGATGGCTGTCCAGGTTCTTTTTGAATGTCTCTAGTGTGAGAGAGCCGACCACCTCCCTGGGCAGCTGGTCCCACTGTGGTATTGCTCTGGCAGTGAGGAAGCTTTTCTGGATGTCCAGCCTGAATCTGGGTTGAATTGATTATGCCGTGTCCTACACTCTGGTATCAGCAAGAAGGGATCTTGACGTTCCTCTTTGGAACAGCCTCAAAAGTGCTTATAGAGTGATACCGTGTCCCCCTCAGTCTTCTCTTCTCAAGGCTGAACATGCCAATTTTATTATTGGGCATGCTTGTTTTATTATTTCCACTTTAGTTTTGATTGTGATTGCTTTTCTTTTCTTCAATGCATCACCTGCACTGGCAGCAGATTTACACTAATTTTGTTTGCCTCTTTTTTCCCTCCTCCTTCCCTCCCTTCCTCTTCTCACCACCCACAGACACCCGCTTGCCACCCAGTGTCCGCAGGTGCCCACCTGCCACTTGAGGACAAGGCAGGACTTCCTGGTTTGCTCATCCGTAGGGGGGAGTTGTTCTTAACCTGGACGTTCTCAACTGGGGACTGGGTGTACACATATTGGCATTCACAAATAGGACCACGGGGCTGTGCTTTGCAGCTCTGAGTCATCACTTGCCAACCTTCCTCCGTTGTTTTTACTTGCTTAAATCTGCAGGATTTAAATCTACAAGCATTATCTCTGGCTGTCCTAGTTTGCTTAGACTTATCAAAACATGGGTTAACACCTGCCTAGTAGAACCATAGTCATCCCATGGAAATGTTTTTTTCATTTGACTATACAGTCCAAGCTTAATACTGTAAATGGAAAAAGAATGGGACATTTGTACACAGTTGCCATAATTTATATAAGGATTTGGTTGTGTAAATTGGCTTGAAAATAATGATGAGTCAACAAGAGTTCATAAATCAGGTGCTTGAGGACAGTGACATACAAGAATTCCACAATCCTATATTAGCAGAAGGTTTGATGGGGTAAAACATATTTTAGACAAAGATATAGGGGAGGTACATGCCAGTTGGTTTCCCTCCAGCTAATTTAGACTTCTGTTCCCATCATCCACCATCAGCATAGGCAATTGTCAGAAGTCTAAATCTCCTGCAGGCACCAGGGGTAACAGAATAAGGTACTGCTGTATTCTCCCCACAAGAACTCAGAAGAACACCAACTCAAAACATTCTGTAAAATTCAGTGAGCAACAATCATCCTTATAAGCATGTTACAGGGATAAACACAATCCCTGGCTAGAAAAACACTGGGTATATTTGCTCTTTCCTTTTGCTCTGCACCTCTATTTTTTAAAGCATAAATAAGAAAGGCAAGAATGAGAGAGAGAGAGAGAGAGAGAGAGAGAGAGAGAGAGAGAGAGAGAGAACAGTCCAGAAAGTTTTAACCTTTTTTTAAAAAATGGGGGAGGTATTTGCATATTTATTCTTCCGGCATGCAAATAGCGACAAGAGGAACAGTGATACAGACAATCTGGCATTGCCACCTTTTCCCAACGGTGCTCCTGAGCTTTGCGGCAGAGTTTTGTGCTTTTAGAAAGTGATGTTTTTTCTGCCACCCACATGGAAGTTTGGTGTCAGGAAGTCTGGCCTGGAGCCCGGCTACACACGCAGTTCAAGTGCTGAATCAGGCAGGGTGCCCAGCCCTCAGGTCGACTTTCCTAGAGCAAATGCAGCCTGCTCAGTTGTAGACGGCCGCACAGTCGCAACAAAATGTTCTCATTGCTTAGCGTGTGGCTGCCGGGACCGACACAATGTCAACTTATTCCAAAGAGCCACTCGGACCAGCCTGCGTCTCTCTCCTCCAACATCTCACTGAGGTTGAGCAGGATCCCTCTCAGTCACACACATCGGGGAACATCGGATCTGTACCTCAACACAGCTGGAAGGCACCCGTGGAGGGAGAGGCACGCCCGTGGGCCGCGAGAGGCATTCTCTCTCAGCGTCTTCTAGGAATGCAAGTACCAGAGCAGCTAATGCACCCCTCAGCGGGCAAGCAGGAGTGTTTTGCAGTTGCCGATTGCTCGCACTCGCTGACTCAGCTCTGAAGAACTGAGTTCCAAAAGGAAGGACCAAGCGATGCCCCGATGACAGCTCAGCAAACTGGCCCTTCTATCTCAGGGGCCCCTTGACTCAAATAGTGTCACTGGTCAGCTGTTGCCTCTATGAGCAGTGTATTTCCTCCTCCACCTCCAGAGATGGCCGTGAACAAACAGCACACTTGTGGATCTGGTGGACACAATCCCAGGTGGAGTTGTCACTATTTTGTTCATTCCAGGGGCTGCCCCCGCCGAGCCGTTCATCCCACACCGATTCCAAACCACAGGTAGTCATTTGGATAAATACCCATGTTTAAAAAGGGTGTGTGTGTGAGGAGGGGGAACAACCTCCAATCAAACTACAGCGGGGCAAAATACATTGTGTGAGAATAGCAGCCAAATGTACGTAATCTTACATTTAAAGCTG